TCATTTCGGCATTCACACAGAGACACGCGCGAAACCCACGACAACTTGCTACGAAACAACGGTAAGCTCCTACAAGACCACACGGCGTTGCAACCCAGAACATAATTCAATTCTTCGTTTCTCTTTCCTTCCGGCTTCCTCGTGTTAGATTCCAGATGTTGTCAAAACAGTTTTATTTCGGGAGGTGTTTATTGTTTTAGCGCGGCGACAATGGCACGAAATAGATTTAAAATTGTGTTGGGGGGGGGGGGGCATTGGCATGATACAAAGCAGATACCAGCTGGAGAAAAGCCCCTTGCTTAAATATTTAACATAGGGGAGGTGCTGTGTTTTGCGTGTTTAGAATTCACTTCGCTGTCCATAGAACGTTTTGGGGCCGAAGCTGATTTAATTAAAATACTGCACATCAATGCCAGTTTTGTAACTTCTTTAATCCCAAACTGTTTAATTGTACGCAGAGTCGAATAGCAAAGATTTGACACACGACGTGTCGTTCGAGCATCTTCGGTGTGTATTTGTAACTTAAGTGGGTTTCGTTGGTACCAGGGGTATCCATCGACTCTGCTTGCTCACAGTTTAAGTAGTTCGGTTAACACGAGAGCCCCGTTTGCGAACAGCTGGCGTACAGCGACCTAGCGGATTGACCCACAGCGCTGACAGCCTTCTCAGGGGGCTCAGTGCGTGGAATATGCATCATTTCGTAACCAATCACATAATTCAATGTCGCGGTTTGCTGGCGATGGATAAAGGCAAATGTTACTTAACTCACAAAGGAGCGATGATTATGCTTAAAGTACGATATATAAATAAGCAGCTGAAAGGATTTACTGCTCTTGATTTGAAAATTTAAATAAATATTATTCACTATGAGCTATCGATAGTTGATAATAGTCATGGTGTCTGTACTTGTGTATCTGGGATCAAGGAAACTTAGTAGACGCAGAAATGAGGTCTGTGTTAGGTCTAGTCTACAAATAGCAGGTCTTCAGCCTGAGGATTTGACGACAGAGGAGAATGGGTCCAGTTCACAGCGTTGCGTTCCAGTTAGAAGCTCCTCACAACAAAACTTTGCAAAATATTGGTCTGTTCGCAGGAGCGAAGAAACGAGATGTACAAATAAACGGTATCAAAAATAGATTGTGGTTTTGCAGAGATCAAAACTGACATGTGACGACGTGAAGCCGCAGAGCGCCTGTGAAGTCGAAAACAAATGAGATGTATTAATTTGTACTGTTTGTTCCCTTTGATATTTATGTAGTAGCCGCAAAATACAGCTCGATTACAGACGACATTGATAGAAACATTCACCACAATTCGACTCGCTTTTCCTTTGTACTCATCCCGACCTCCCGACCTCCCGACCTCCCCACCTCGCAACAGCATCAAATCAACATGCACTCTCGAAAGACGTAGGAGCAAATTGAATTTGGAAAATACTTCCTTCCTTTCAGTAACTTCCGTCTCGTGTCTAAAAACGTTTGTGTGGGTGTGAAACTCGGTCTGTCTCCCTGCGTCGACAACGTAAATCGAGGGTTTCAGAGCAGGGAGACGGAGAGGGGGAAAGTTGGATGAGGAACAGCTTCACAATTTGCACTTTTCTTCAAATTATTCTACTCCAGATCGGCGAATACTAATGGGTACGACATGTAGCAGGCTGTGGGATGAGAAATACATGGGCACTTTTGTTTGGATATCCTGAAGGGAACACATCACCTGCAAGACCTAGGCTTAGACGGGAGGATAATATTAAAACGGATCCTAAATAAATACTGTATAAGGGTGTGGACTCAGTTTAGCTGGTGGGCTGTAGTTATCACTTTAATGAACCGTAGAGAGATAGTAATTTCTTGAAAGATTTGTCAACTTTTGAAGAAAGTCTGCACTCCAAGCAGTCAGCTAGTTCATGAGTTAGCACAGATAATCAGTGGCTTCATTAAGACCTGCTCAGGGTGGGAGCTCCTTAAGCTTTGAATTCGTCGTACTGGTTGCTATTAATATTATTCCGTCTATTCACCATCTTACAGGGCGTTTACTTCTGTGTACCTGAGACAAACCTTGCCCCTAAAGTACATAGTGCAGCAACTATTTCCGAAATAAATTTTGTTTTTAGTGTGTGTTACATGTGTTATATAGTTTTATTATTATTATTATTATTATTATTATTGTATTTGGCTGTTATATTTAATACTGTACACGTATAAGTTTAGTTAATCTGTTTGTGTAATAATTTTCATTATTAATTAATTATTATTGTATATATTATCAGTGTTTGCCTGTTATTGGCTCCTCGCTGATGACATACACTTAAATAAAGAACTGAATTTAATTATTGTTTGGTGCTGATTAGAAACTAAACACACAGCACTCTCAGTAAATTGTTGGGCAGTACTCCAGTGGGTTTTTTTTCCGTCATCTCGTGGGAGATTATCTTACGTGTCAATTACTGAAGTTATTGTTCACAAAGAACTTTAATAAAACACAAAAGGAATATATCTTCCCAGTTTACTTGTTGAGGCCAATCAATCAATCAATTCTGTAATGTCTGTGTCACATTATTTCCGCGGACATAATGTCTTCCTTCTCCTCAACACAGTGACAGCCAAAGACTGTAAAAAAATTTTGGTAGCAATTCATGTTATTGACAAAGTTCCCTGTTAGTACATTCCCTTCAAAGGGCAGACGAGGGAGTGTTCTGCCTTGGAAACCTTCAGTTCCTGGATGCGATGGACAATTGACAGAGAGGCTTCCTGTTTGCTACGGTAGGGCAGATGGAAATCGCACACCGCTGTTCAGCGCAGTGCCCCTCTGTAGGAGATCAGCAAGCTGTCTAATAGGTGGGAGTAACTGAGCAAATTTCTCTCGAAAACTAATAAAGTGTATGGGCTATGAACTTCACTATTTAACAGGCACACACCAAGAAACTAGGCACAGGTGAAGGAATAGACAGGGAGATCCATAAATTAACATATAAGCAGTTTCATAATTTTTCCTTTCGCCATGCGCCATTACAGTGATCGGCTGAGAGAGGATTTGATAGGCGAAGCATCCAGGACGCCTCGAAGAGAGTATAAAAATTCACTCTTAATATGTGTACTCTGGGTTGTTGTGCCGTGCAGTCTGGTAGAAGTTTACCGACGTTTCAGAGGTCCTTGGTGCCTCCATCATCAGGGCGACAACCCAGAAGACAGCCATTTCCATACTCCACGCCGAAATAATCTCAAATCCTACAAATTCACACTTGTTTGTCCTGCAAAAATAAGTGTTTGAATTTCACTAATGTCACGTCTAGTTCCTACGCCTTCAGACAATCATTCACGCTCACTAAAGGCCACAGTTGGTTGTATTTGGCTGATACGAAGGGAGTGGAGTGAGGAATATTGACGTCTGTCAAATTGTTGGTTTCAGGCTGCAGACAGAAAGAGCCCTCCTGTTGACAGAGGAGCACGGCACACCTGCGCGGGTTTCCTGGGCGAGTTTGCTTCAAGGGGATGCAGCGCGTGAAACGCAGAGCGGCGCATTCCGAAAACACGAGATAAGACTCAGCGTATCCTGTGATCTCTTGTTTCAACGGCTGTGCGAAAAGCACGTTGCAGACAGAGCCATCAAATTGCTGTCACTTACAAGTGATATTAGCAAAGCTCTGCGCGATCTCAGCAGAAGCTAACTGTCGCTCAGCTGGTAAAGCAATGCTCCGCATCCTATTGAACTCGAACGTTCAGTACCGCGTTCACAAACGCCCGAAAATTTATCCTAACCTGCGATACTTGAATCCAATCCACACACTTGCACTCTGTTCATTTAAGACACTTTTAATATTATATTTCCAACAAAGATAAAGATCTGGAAAGTGTTAATTTCCCTTCAGGTTTTCCGCTACAGTTTTGTATGAATTTGTTGTCTGTCCTGTGCCCGGCCATCTCGTCATCACTTGGTTTTGTCGCAGTAAGAATATTTGGTGAGAAGTACAATTACATGTAGAGACTTCTTCAGGTACCTAATACTTGCCCACTCTCGTGTCGAAGTATCCTTCTCGGCGATTTCTTCATCTAGATTCATCTCTTAGCTAGTTTTACGCTCACAAAAACAGCAAGTAGTCCGGTGCATTTTTAAAGTGTCTAAATATCATTTTCCACTGCTGTCTCGTCCCGTGTGTAACGACTGTTACCTACTTTGACTTTACAGCGTGTGAAAACGTAATTTCTGCAGGACGCGCTAAATTCACGTGCGACGTACAGTCCGTTGCATGGAGCGGTCGGTTCAGACAGACGTGTGTCTGATTTGTAGTTCCTTCCGACCGAGAGTGCTAAATATTATTCGTATCTCGCAGCGACCAATTAAGCAATCAATCTGTATTCGCCCCTTTTTAAGATTGGTGTTGCTGATACGGAGTACAATGGGACAGGTAACTCACGGAGATTGGCCGAAACTCGAATGTTATCATGTTCGCACACGCACAAGAACAATCCGACAATTTTTAGAAATATTATTTTTTATACTATAAGTTATGTATTAACACTGTTTTTGTACAAAACTTGATTTAGTCTACACGAACTACAGGTGATGTTCATAAGAGCTCGCATGCGCCTTGTTGCTTTACCTTCGTGTGATTTAAGGTTTCGACGGTTCTGCGCCCGAAGATCGCTTTCCTCTGGGCTGTAGCGCGCTACTACGCAGAACTAACTACAAATACGTTTGTAGTGCATATTTAATCCATTTTAAGTTTTATTGAACATTACTGTCCTTTGTTCTTAAGCTTTTTTCACGTCTCTGTCTGCTCCACAAGAAATAATATTCGAGGCCCAAAAATATTCTCGAAAAGTTTGTTAATTTTTTGTTGTTGTTGTCTGTAAGAACGTGTTTATTTCTAAAACAAGAAATAGGTTTTTAGTGTCTTCCTTTTTGGTGAACCCTGTTGCAGACATTTTGGAGCGCCGGAAATTAACGAACTGAAGCCGAAGTTTTCCGAACGCTCGTGGGAAAAGACAGTAGAATGCGCGAATGCAGGTGTGGTGAATGTTGTGGTTCTTTGTTCTCGTGTTTTGTTGAAAATTGTAGTGTGAGACTGTAACAAAGTGTGAGGTGATAAGTGTTGTGGTTTATTATAATCAATGTGTTGGTGAAATAATTAAAATATGAAGTTAAAGTGTTGTGAGAAAATGTTTGACCAGTTGTTCAGGAATGACGTCACAGACAGCGTGTGGTGGTAAGTCTACTCCAATGGCAAGCTAACATGTGCCATCTTTAAATAGTCAAATTATTTCATTATAAATAATTTGAAGTACTTATTATTGAAAATTACTATGTCACACAAAATGCAAGACTTTAGCACTTTCGGTAAAACACAACTCTTCTTTTATATGCTGTGCTTTTACTGGCCTTCAATTTGGAAGCGCGAGAAACTCTGCAAGAGGTCCTCATGACGCGTCATTCTTTTGTACGTCTATGACTACGGTTGCTAGCTTCTGGCTTCTCATCTCTAGGACTGGATTAAATCTCGGGTGACATTCAAGTGATATTAACTTGTACATATTAGCGAAACCAGTTTAATTTCAAGTGACACGTAATGTATGTAATGTGTGTTAAGAACACTAGAGAATGGCGCGTAATGTCATGAATGGAAAATTTATTGTGGTCCGTAATACGTGTAATGAATACTGGGTGTCACGTAAAGTATGATACGGTCAAAACCCTACTTGGCAGTGTTAATTTAATCAAATTGATCATAATTTTTCTAATTAACCACAAGCTCTACAGCTGTGATATTTGGCACACTTGAAGTTAAGGGTTCTGTGTATTTTGTAACGTATCAGTTAACCTGCCTTGTCCCTTCAGGAGCACAGCATCCTTCCAAATGTCTACCTAATTTATTATTCATTAATTATTCGTCGCTGTAATCGTATGGTCTGAGCTGTGGATGCACTAGAGATATTATATTTTAATATGAAAATCTGTCGTGGAATATTGTGTATTTATATTACTTTAAGCGCATTGTAATCAGGTGTCCATTATAATTCATGAGATTATGGTGACGACGTTGTACCTTAATTTGGAGTTCACGGGAACTTTAAATGCTTCATTAGGCTTACTACATTAGATTTTCCAACATTCTGGTCTGTGAGTAAACATTCATAAATCTAATTAAGTTCCATTCACGTGAGTGTGGCTACTGGGTAGTGTTCGTGATTACTTTGCAAACAGAGAGCAGAGAAATTAATTTTCGTCAAACATTTTTATTTTACTTCGTTGTAGGTAATGTATTTCCTGGTGAAATATCTAAACTCATCTGGACACACTGAAAACCTAAGCAGTTACACAGGTAATTAGTCGTTTTGTCTGTCAGCTAACATGGCGTGGCTGCTAGAAAGGCCTCGAAATTTCCGCAACATTGGAGTGG